AGTGTTAATGTACTGGAGTGTCCAGTCAGTGTGTCTGTATGAACCCCTCTCTCTCAGTGCAGTGTTAATGTACTGGAGTGTCCAGTCAGTCAATGTGTCTGTATTTACCTCTCTAGCTGGAGGGTCCTACTTCATGATCTCTCGTTCTCTGGGTCCGGAGTTTGGGGGAGCTGTGGGACTGTGCTTCTACCTGGGGACGACCTTTGCTGGTGCCATGTATATCCTGGGAGCCATTGAGATCTTCCTGGTAGGTGCCTGCTCTCGTCACTGCTGTCCGTGCGACCGAAGGGGGGATTCTGGGATGGGACTGGATCGTGTGTTGACAGTTCTTGTCTGTCTCAGCAGAGTTTACTACAGTGACGTACAGTCACGTCGCTGTCCGCTTTTCCTTTAGCGGGCTGTGTATAACCTGTTCTTGTGGGCGGGGAGGCCCGGCTGTCTACCTCTCCTGATTGGCCGGGCTGCGCCCCTCGAGCCCCCTCTCCTGATTGGCCGGTGGCTGGGCTGCGCCCCTCGAGCCCCCTCTCCTGATTGGCCGGTGGCTGGGCCGCACCCCACTAGCCCCCTCTCCTGATTGGCCGGGCCGCACTCCTCGAGCCTCATCTCCTGATTGGCCGGGCCGCGCCCCTCGAGCCTGTTCTTCGTTAGAGAGACCCATCCTGTGCTGCGTGGTGAAGAGGGTCCCCTCTGTCTCCCAGCGTCCCTATTAACCCCCTCTGTGTCTCTCAGATGTACATCTCGCCCTCGGCAGCCATATTCCAGGGGCAGGACGAGGCCAGCCAGGGCGTGGCCATGCTGAACAACATGCGTGTGTACGGCTCCATCTTCCTGCTGCTCATGTCCCTGCTGGTCTTCGTGGGCGTCAAGTACGTCAACAAGCTGGCCTCCGTGTTCCTGGCCTGCGTCATCCTGTCGGTCCTGTCCATCTACACCGGCGCCTTCGTTTCCGCCTTCCAGCCTCCCAGCTTCCCGTAAGCCCTCGGCCCGTCTCGCTGCCTGTCTCACTGTCTGCCTGTCTATCTCTCTCTGA